CCATATGAAGATCGCGGTTGGGGCCTAGGCGCGATAGTTTTGGCGCCTAGGCACTAGAGTCGATTTTTAGAAGATCTATTGAATGTGACCAAATTTTGAAGAGATGTCTAAAGCAACCCTTGGTGATTTTTGAGGCTCTATAAATAGGGAGATTAGTTCTAAACATAAAGGGAGAGTTCTAGAGTTGTTTAGAGAAGGAAAGGCACCAAGCTAAAGTGGGTGGCCACCTTAGTAAGGTTTTGTGAGTCCTTGTAATTTATAGAGTTTTGTGAGTCTTGTAAGAGTCTTTTTGAGTTAGTGAAGTTAGGGAACTTGAAAGGAGTGCTTGTGGAAATATTTTAGATAAGCATTTGTATCTTTTTTTATAAGTATTGCAATATGGATTTGAGTTTTAGAAATATGTTCTATCTTATTATTCCCATGTGGTATGAGTAGTTTTCTTCTTTCTCCTTTCAATATGAAGTAATCAAGCGGTGGTTTTGATTTGTTTAGAACTTCTTTTATTCAAAAAAATGTGATGGTATTTTCACTGGTCCTTCATTTACTTTACAAATTGGTCACTTGTATTATTAAAATTTGTTAAGAAAATTAAAGACCCGAGAGGGCTAAGATTTTTTTAACTAGTAAGTATCATATTTCACTTTGAAAAGAGCCATGGAGATCGTCCAAAGGGGAGTGCAAATAGATAGGGAGGCAATACTTGATGGGTGTAAAATTGATGTTTCTAGGGTGACAAGCTAGATTCTCTTATCAATTTGGTCTAGAGATTGGAACTAAGGGTCACTGGTAGGTCATATAGAGAAGGCATAGTGGGTAAACTAGGAGTGAGAGACTAGAACCTACCCAACATTATTATACATACCAACACCAACTTTAGATTATCCAATGTTTTTAATACTCAGAAGAGGTAAGAAACATGTATGCTCCTATTTGTCACAATGTCACAGTTAAACCTATAAACACTTTAAATCCTACATTTATTATGAATTATTTGCATGGAGAAAGTCTCTTTATATTTCTTAAATTGTGTAAAACTTTGCATTTATTTTTAACTTGCATTTATAGGATTAGTAAACTTTATTTCAATGCATAAACTACTTTAAATATTTTTGACAGTCTTAAGTAATGGTTTTTCATAGTTAATATTCCTGAATTTACTTGTTTCCTTTATTTTCTCTACTGGATTGATACTAAGGTTTTTAAAGCAAATTCTATATTATTTGAAACTATACATATACTTGCGAAGACCCCTAATGAGAAAACTATTAATATGAATATTACATTTGTTCTCACTAGCCGCTAAATATAAATTGGGTCAAGTTTTGGTCATATTTGGCTAAATATAAATTGGGTCAAGTTTTGGCCATATTTGGGAACATAAATATCTGCATAGTTGTGAGTCGGGTCATCTTTGTAACCGTACCTCTCTTTTGCTTTCTACTACAGTGGCTTTCTTGCCATTTCACATGTATAAGTCCCACCTCTAGTTTCTACATGCAGGGAGTCATGGAATTTAGAGTTAAGGCTATATAAGTTCCTTTGGATGATACAATTTGTGGATTACTGATAAGGGGCTCTCTAGTCGGGTTGGTCTACTACCTTCATGATTAGGTAGACTTGGGGTCTTACTATCCTGGGATAATGGATCTATGGTATCTATGTCTGACTACCTCTACCTGATTAGGATTCCTTTTCCTTTATTTGATATAACTGCTTCATTGATGCTGTCTTTTAAGCTCCGATTGTGGACAACCTACCACCCGTTTGGGATACAATGATTAACTCTATACCCTTATGACCTGGTTATGCCTGAAAGGATAGTGCATACCCTATGAAAAGACAACGTTATTTCATAGGCTTTGGTCCCATATGAGCCTTTATCTATTTGAGATCATGAGAAACTCATTCTCTGCGCTTATGGCTTAGTGTGAGTTCAGAAGGCATTAAGATGCTCTTGTGAGATAACCATCCTTTGACACATCATTTACTTGTCATCACTTGAATGTAAGTAGGATTCCTTTAATTGAGAGTATTCTTGGGCATCCTTTAAGATGTAACCAAAGAGATATGTTCCTTTGGAAGTTGCTCTTGACCTTAGAACAAAAATATTCTTTCTGGTTCTCTGGTAATGAGTTTCTTATGTAAGAATTCTCTCGTGGATGACATGTTTCAAGGTGTTATGATTTGAGGAGTATGTATAATAACTTTATAGGAGCCTTCCTTATAAACTCTACACACAGGTGAAGGATAAATACTTACTTATAAAAATAATTAAAAAAATATTTCAAATTATTTTATAACAGTAATTTGTCACATAAATCAATTACTTACTTATAATAATTTTTAATAAAACTTGCATTTTTATTCATTATTAATGGCATAATATCTTTACTTGTAAGCACTTTATCACTCTTCTAGCTTAATATTCTTTGTTTAATATTTCTAAGATACTCTATATATTTACTTCTTTGCTTTAGGATGGATTATAAGCCTCATATTATAATGATATGACATATCCCATTATAAGCCACTAAGCTTGAAAATTCTTTTGTTAGGTTGTTGCTAAGCCTTGTTTAGCCCTCTTTATGTGCTCACCCATAACTGCCTACCTAATCAATATTAAAAAAAAATTGTCACGTTTACCAAGATAAACTATCTCAGTAAAAAATAGTGCTAAATTTATCTTGATTGAGTGTAGTGCTAGCTATAAGATAAAATAAACTAAATTGTTATATACCACCTCTCGCACAATTCAACATGATTGCATTCTCTAGTCTCTTTTCTTAAAATTATTGTCTCAATCTTGATGGTTATCTATTAAACTATAACTTGTGCTCATCTCCTTGAATTTCTCCTAGAACTGATTAAATGATAATATCTTTGGCATTAAGCTATTTAATCACTTTCCTCATTATACCCTTAGATTTATGTGTGACCTGAGTGATATAATAACTTTATCAACATATAATATTAGAATGGAAATTTATATACATAGAAAAATAGCTCAAATGAATTAATTTTTTATAAAATAATAAATTGAAAAAAACTATTTAAATTATGCTTGAATCAAGTTTGATTCATATTAAACCTTATTCAAACTTTGCTCAAAACCATGATTTAACAATATAATAAAACTCAAGTAATTTTTGAAAAAGATTTGAATACAGTTTTAACATGTTTGTAATAGTTAATGTGTTGTTTAATTTTTTTTTTATTTATAATTTATAATATGAATGTTGTACTCATACATACATAATTAGAAGTATAATATCATTAAAGGGCATTTTGGAAGCAAAATTTGAGAATGATGTAGAGAGAAAATTTTAACCTAAATCTTTTCAAGCAACAAAAATGACAATTTTTAATCCAACAAAATTTTTAATCTCATTCGTACCCTTTTTTACCGTATTGATTAAATTTGGGAGATTGCTAGATTTATTTGTTTTAGAAGAGGACAAAGGAGAGCAATGAGAGTTACCTTCACTATCAAACTATTGTCCAAACTTCATCGCTTCATATCTTCTTCATTCTCCTTATCATTATTATCATCTCCAAGATCAATGGAAGCTTGGCAAAGCCATGAAATAGGTACTTGGCTTAAATCTATATGCATCACAAACTCTACTTCGTAACATTGAAGCTTCTTTGGAGAACTTCGTCGAGCCCTCATCACCTATTTGTTGTCAAGAATTTCAAGGACTTTGGCAAACACAAAAGAGGAAAATGGAGGACATCAATAGTGTGTGACGAGTTTTAAATAATTAATTTTAAATAATAATTTAAATTAATTAAATTATATTAACTCAAAAAAATAAATTTAATTGTTTAATATTAAATTATTGTTATTTTTTTGCTAAAATAAAATTGACTAAAAAAATGAATTTCTTAATTAGTTTAACAAGTTACTTATTAAATATTGCATAGAATTTTATCTTAGGTAATATATGAACAATTTACCATTCATTTAAGTATTATTACAGTCTTGTTTGATCTAACTAACTTAATTTTTGAAATTAAAAAAAAAAAACAAAGTTATAAGATTTAATCAGATTTAATTTTTATAAAGCAAAATAATTTTTCTGGATATAAGTGCCTCAAGATCTAATAAAATTAATTTTACTAAATCCTACTAATAGATAAATAACCTCTGAACTTCTAGATAATGCTTAAAAGGCTATCACTATAAAACATTACAATAATCACACGAGCTTTCAAATTGTAGAAAATGAAAAGATGCAAAGTACTTTAAATTGTAGGATAATGATTAGAATTAAAGTGAAAATCTCAAAAAGGCAAATTCAAATGCTCATTTTGTCTTAGAAAAAAGGAATAAAAAGTTGTAAGAAAACGAACAGTTAAGCAGTTCTTTCATTCAAATGTCCTTGTGACACTTTACCGGCACTCATTTTTTAAGAAAAATTTGATTCAAACATTACACTCAATTATATTTCATAAAAATAATCCTATTGGACATTGTAGTAACATCCAATTATATTTTCATTAGCTTTCCAATTACTGAATGTCCACTTCAAGTGGAATATAACACAAACTTCTCAAACAAAATGTACACCTACATAATTTCGGGAATTTATATACACACACACAAAAAATTTTATGAAATTATATATTTAATTTTAAATTTAGATATTTATATATAAAGATCAAAATTTAGACGAATAAGAAGGCGGCTCCGTGGTTGAGCATTTCATCCCACACCAAAATAACTCATGATCAAAACTCATTGGCCAAAAAAAATAAAAATCTTAAAATTTAGATATTACATATATACTTTGTATCAAAGTGGAAAAATATTACATACACATGAGATAGATGCAGATTATGAGTTGAATACTACCCAAATATCACAGTTCCCAAGTCATAAAGTGGAAAAATATTACATACACTTAAGCCAAAAAAAAGATAAATAGCAACCAATGTTATGCATCTACTTATCTCACGTCTAAACTTTAACTTTTGAAGTACAAAATACCCTACTTATGAAAAAAGTGCACATGTAAATGCCCAAAAAAAAATGTGGTAGTTTGATAGTTGGCTATCCCTGCACCTCCCATCAGCACCCCCAATCCTCTATTTTCCTTCCTCGCAGCACGCGCGATGAAGAAGGAACTGCTGGCATCTGCGCCATGGCGGGGCGAAGAGATGAGAGAGAAATTTCAGGACGCGAAGCTGAAAGTCACCAACAACCCTGGCTCCACACCGACCATGCACGTTCACCGTAAGAGGTCCGACTCCAGCAAGGCCGATGTGGACGAATCCGTCGCAGAGATTGACCCTGAGCTCAGATATAGTTTTTATAGGAACGTCCAGGTGTTTTTCTTATGCATGCTGCCCTTGTCAATCATCTTTGGTTTTCTCCCTAATTTGCACTTTGGCGATTACTTTTTGTTTCCTGCAGCCGTGCTTGATTCTACAATATATATACATTTTCTTTTCTTAAAATTAGATTTTCTTTTTCAGTTCCAAAATTAGGGTTTCAGTTGGTCTAGGGTTTTTCTGGGATGTGTTACGTGTGGCATATGAACTAAATTTATGCTCGGGTTGGCCGAACGTTCTGTTTCTTAAAAATTGTAGTAGCTTTCTGATATTCGGAAAAGAGCAGTGTTGGAAATTTCAGCCATATGAAAGATGAAAAAAACAACTTTCTTAACTAATTATTTTTATCTTGGTGTCAGCTAGCTTAGTTGGTAAAGATTTCAGAAAGTTGTTGCTAAAATATTGAGATCGAATCCTGCCTACATTAAATTTGTATTTCCACACTCAACTTCCCAAAGAAAATGAACTTATTATTTATATAATTTATATATAGCTAGGATTAAATCATTTATTATCAGTCTATGACATTCATACTTGTATTCCACTTAGACGTTCAATCCACTAAATCAGCCAAATTGTTCTGACAAACAACTATAACACTTACATTTTTTCAAACAATAATCTAACATTTCTCTTGAAGTTGTTTACTCGACACCACAACCCAGTACATCATAACATAAGATAATTGACATGGGGGCATCCTTTTTTCTGGACCAATTTGGTCCAGGGCTTGTAAGGGCCATCCTCTATTCATGGAAGTGCCTCCTTCATTTAAGAGAGGGTCCACTCCTAGTTATCTAGGAATATATATTTTACTTTTTTTGGTGTTTAGGTTTTAGTTTTTACTATGATTTGCTTTGGAATAGCCGTCGAATCTAATTTTCTCTCTATGGGTTTTATCCTAGAGTTTGATATGGTGCTTCAACTATATCTTAGTTTCCAGTGATGTTTATCTTTTCCTTAACTTTCCACCATCATTTCCCTATCGCTCTTAGATCCCTTTCCCTTTCTCCTTGCTGCCGCCTCCTAGAACAACGCTCCCGTAGCTGTTTCTGCTACTTGCATGCCGTCCAGACACTTGGAAATCGTTGTCCTATTGTTTCGAGCTTGCTAGGCACCTCTTTGCCACCAACTCGGAGGTCCAAACCATAACTGACACCACCTATACGCTAGATCCATCCCTAATTCTAGTGTTGTGCTGTTTTTGTGTTGCAATTTCAAATTTTTGTATTGTTTGTTGTAACTTCAGACTTTGAATTCAATTATAATTTTTGTTTCCCTTAAGTGTTTGTTAAATTCTAGCATCATTTGGTATCATAGCTAATTTAATTTCATCAATACTTGAGTCTAATTTTTTATTTTCATAGCTAATTTAATTTCATCAATACTTGAGTCTAATTTTTTATTTACCCTAAATTAGTCTCATACACCCTCTTTCACCTACCAAACGTAAACCTTGGCCATGCCACCAAGGAGACAAGTGCCGGAAGCAGGTTATAAACTTATCATGGAAGAGATGCAGTGAAAAATCCATTTCAGCAAAGACTTGCCAAAATTTTGAATGGGGCCCATGGAGAACTCACCATTTATCGTGATAGTGAGATTCAAATAGGAGAGAGGGAGGAAAATCTGAATCCCTTAGGGATATTCTAGTGAAGAGGAGGGTAGGCCATGACGCTTTGAAATTCAATAAGGGATGGAGAGACTTTTGGAGAACATAGAGATATAGGAGTAACGATAGACTACCTGATTTCAAGAGGAGAATGAATCTGGATGAATCATTGAGTATTTGCAGGCTGTTGAGAGGATTTTTAGCATAAAGAGGTGTCAGCTGATAGGAGAGTGAAACTTGCTGTCACAAAACTGAAGAAGTGTACTTCTTTGTGGTGAGAGAATTTGAAGAGGGTGAGGCAGAGGGAGGGTAGCAGCAAGATGACCACATGATAGAAGATGAATAAGGAGATGTAGAGGAAGTACTTACCCCTACACTAGCGCTATGACTTATTCTTGAAGCTTCACCGTCTATAACAGAGAGAGTTGTTAGTGGAATAGTTCATGGCATTTGAGCGGCTCATGCCGAAATATGAGCTGACAGAGTTAGAAGAGCACACTATTGACAGATATTTTAAAGGCATGAAGCAAACCATCTGCAATGTTGTTCAACTATAGCCTTATTATTCATTGGGAGATGCTCAAACCTTGGCAATGAAGGTGGAGAGACAACAAAAGCAGAGTCCCACTTTCATTCAGACAGCTACCCTCAACTGTAGGTATCTGTAGGAGCACGCCTAGGGAAGGCGTGAAGACTAGTCAGAGAGATGAAAAAATTGATCAGAGTGGGAAAAGCTTAAGAAGAGTAGTACACCCAACATTGTTCTAGCTAGAAAGTGCTTTCGATGTCATGAATATGGACAAGTAGCCTCTGATTGCCCTACTAGCAGAGTTGTTTCCTTCACCAAGCTGGGTGCATTGGAGGAAGTGAGCGAAGAGGAGGTAGAAGAAGAGCAGCATAAGGAGTATTGGTTCCATGGAGATGAGGGTTACATGTTAGTTGCGTGGGCTTTACAGAATGAGCCTAAGAGGGATCACTCTTGGCTGAGACAATCATCTTTCACACCAGGTATATTGTGAGAGCGAAGGTATGCAGTCTTTTCATTGATGGAGAGATTTGTAAAAATATGGTATCCACTCTTACGGTGAAGTAGTTGGATTTGGCTACTCAAAAGCATTCTTAAACTTATTCTTTGATTTGGTTGATGAAGGGAAATGAGATACTTTTGGATCAATAATATTTGGTAGAGTTCTTTATTGGGGATCTACCGCATGATCAAAAAAAGGTTTGATGTTATTCTCATGGATTCCTGCCACATTCTGTTGGGAAGACCATGATAGTTTAATCGCAGGATTTAGCATGATAGGTTTAAAACACCTAATTAGGAGAATGTGGTCCCATGTGTCACCTTTCCACATTAAGTGTGGGAGGCCTCAGCGGCGATGGCTTTAGTCACTCTAAAGAGGATTGAGGAGATTGATTTACCAAAGATGATATATCCCCTATTAGCTAACTTTCAGAATGTGATGACTAAAAGTTTACCTGAGGGACCAAAACCACTTTAAGACATTCAACATGCTATAGACCTTATTCCTGGTTCAGTGTTACCTAATAAGCTTGCTTATATAATGAGAACAACTGTGTATGAGGAGTTGCAACGATATGTGCAAGACCGTATTGCTAGAGGATTGGTGAGGGAGAGCACCAGTCCATGTGATGTTCCTACTTTGATGGTGCCTAAAAATGATGCTTCATGAAGAATATGTATTGATAGCTAAGCGATCAATAAAATCACCATCAAATACATATTTTATATACCTCTGCTGGATGATTTACTAGATCAGTTGCATGAAGCTATCATATTTTCCAAGCAATGGATATCACCAGTGCAGGATGAGGCCAGGGGGCAATGGAAGACTGCCTTCAAGATCATAGATGGGTTGTACTAGTGGACAATCATGCCTTTTGGACTGTCTAATGCACTTGGCACATTACATTGAAAGGTTCATAATTTTTTGATGACATCTTAGTCAACATTAGATCTAAGGAGGAGCACATTTGGCGATGGTCTCTGAGGCTCTTCGTTGAAGAAACTGTAAGCCTGCCTGAAGAAGTGTTACTTCATGACGACACATGTATGTTTTTTGAGTTATATTATATTTCGTGCAAGCATTCAAATAAACCTTATGAAACTAGAGGCTATTGTGAGTTGGACACCCTCACATATCTTTATAGAGCTGAGGCAATTTTTGGGGCTAAGATCCTCTCATAGAAGGTTCATCAAGAGCTTCAACACCATTACGACTTTTCTGACAGAGCTATTGAAAGGAAAGAACTTTTAGTGGATAGAAGCAGCTTAGTCCAACTTCAACATCCTGAAGAAGAAGGTGACTCGAACCCCATTGTTAGCACTAATAGTTTTCGATCAGCTATTCAAGGCGATATGTGTTAATTTGGGGTTGGAGCAATGTGGAGCTAACAAGGGCTTCTCATAGCCTTTAGTGAGAATTTTAATGACCCTAGAAGGACATACTCAACAAATGATAAGGAATTCTATGCTATCGTGAGAGCTCTTAGTCATTTGAGTCACTACTTGTTGATTAATGAGTTTATCTTATTCACAGATCATGAGGCTTTAAGATTCCTGAACAGTGAAAGCAAGTTAAAGGGCCGACATACTTCCTATGTTGGATTCCTGACTTCATTTCAGTTTGTGCTTAAGCACGATGAAAGGAGTCAGAAACGAGTAACATATGCCTTGAGCCATCACCACTTTCTGATCATCTCATTGAAGGCTAGAGTTGTGGGATTCAAGGTGGTGAAACAACTGTATGAGTCAAATGAGGACTTTAGGGAGATTTGGGGTCAAAATCAGGAGAAGCGTACGGCATAGTCCCACATATTTTATGGTTTTCTATTCTATTAGAATATGTTGTGTTCTCGGGTGTTCAATGAGAGAGTCCATCATATAGGAGAGTTAGTGGGGGATAAACTGGTCATATTGGCAGAGATAAGACCCTCACATTTGTGAGGAAACTTTTTTTTGGCCTAAACTTATGAGCGATGTAGAGAGGTATGTCAGTTAGTGTAGAGTTTGTCACTTGGCAAAAATGAGAGGACAAAATATAGGGCTATACACACAGTTACACATGCATGTGGCTCCATGGTTGGATGTTATTATGAATTTCGTTGTTGGCCTTCTAGGACACATTGGAATAATGATTCCGTAATGGTAGTGATTGACATGTTTTTCAAGATGACTCATTTTGTACCTTGTCACAAGACACTGGATTCATCAGATGCAGCTGACCCTTATTTCAGGGGTATAGTGAGATTGCATGGGATACTTAGGACTTACTTTTAATAAGGATATCAAGTTCCCGAGCCAATTTTGGAGAACTTTATGGGGAAAACATAGTACTAAGCTTCAGTTCAACTTAGC